ATATACACATGTTCAGAAATTTTATTGAATTACGTATTTTGAAAAATTATTATTTAATATAATGGGAGAGATTTTTTTGGGTGCTCGAATTTTATGTTTCATCATTCTTTCAGGCACATGTTATGACTAATATATACATATAAACTGATGATACTCAAAATAATTTTCAAGTATGAGCTCAGGCACGGAGGTCAGACAAGCAGGTCAGACTAAGAGGTCAGGGAAGACACGCAGAGGTCAGAGGATCAGAGCTAGAGCTCCCCCCAAACGTGACAACAACGGAAATGATAAGAGAATAGGTGGATGACAACAGAAATCTTAATTACAGGTGGCAAAGAGCCATATTCAAGGCACAAAATCCTTAACTAGCCAAGATCATTTCTTAGGAGAGTTCCTCGGATAAATGGCAAGAATCTCGGTGTAGATCCCGCAGAACTAGGGACAATCCTATAAATACTATGTAACACCTCAAAGAGTAGGGGACCCGAGTAACATACAATCGGTCTTGTAAACCTTTCGGATAATCTATAAAGAAAAAAGGAGCAAGAGTCTCCATTGAAGAGTGGATTAGCCGAACTCCTGAGTTGGTGAACCACTATATTTTCATTGTGTCAATCCCCCAATTTTCCTTCAATTCCAATCCTTGTTCTTTCGAGTCTTACAGCTCAAATCCTAATAGTCACATACTGCTCATCTCATTTGTTCAATAACACAGAGTTGCACCACGTTGATTTACACCATCATAAACAAAGAATAATTGTAGGAACGCTAGCTAACTTTTTGAAGAAACTTCCACCATAAGGACTAGTTTTTACTAATCGTGAGGCAAATACGCATAATCCCAACCTCTAAGTTGTATCCAACCTAAGTAAATTGCATTAATACATCTCCCACAAACTTGACATCCTTGAAACATCTCACATAGTTTGTGACGTAAGCACACATATGATACAGATCACCCAAAAAATATATTAAGGAAAAGAAAATGAAAGCGTGCAATTCAATAAAGTAAATTAATTTGAAACCTCCTCAAGGTCGTCCATACATGTGCAAAGCCTAAGCTATGGCCACCGCGTCTCCAACTGTTAATTATAAAGAACCCAAACCATTTACTCTGATTAAATCGAATAGGGGCCCACTATGTTATCAAATGAGATACAGACAGTACCAGAAGAAACAATTAAATAAGTCAGATACAACTTATTTGGATCAAATTACTATTTAATGGGGTCAAGTTAAAAAAACATTATGATCAATTATAAACTATTAGTACTCATTCAACACACAATATATTTTTTTTATGAGTTTAATTCTATACCAGAAAATAAGTTGGGGTACCGTCATTAGTCGTATCCAGACCCATATTCAAGTAAATAATGCATTGTTAATATCAGTCTCGTGGTAATCCCAAGAAGGTTTAGTAGCTGTTTTTCCAAGCCTTGCTTTGCGAACAATCAAATATCCCATAATTGTAGTATTTCTCTTTTCCTCGGGATCGTTTATATCTATTAACAATACAGATAAATCGGGAAGAGTGAGATTGGCGGACGCGTTCACAGAGCAAGTGGATTGAACAATCAAATACTTGGTTGTGTCGATGAGCAACTAGTTTTCCATGCAACATGCAATGAGGGCGGAACACTAGTCGAAAATACTATTGGGATCTAATTTAATAATTTAATTTAGGGATCTAATGATGTACAATCATTATATTGGTTGTGGACCCTATCTAATATTGGAATTCACAACTAATTCAATAATTACATTAAAACCACATCATTAAATCCCTAAATTAGATCTCCAAATAAGATCCCTACAGAATTGCTCATCCTTGCAATCGGTTTTCTTCAAATATTAAAGAAATGTGATATAATTCATGAAATTGATTCATTAAGAACTTGTAAGTGACATGTAGTCCCCGCCACCGGTAGTCCCAGCAAAACCTTAACACCAAATGGCTCAGAGTTTTTAGCCCATTCTCTTCCGCGGGGACGGTGTTGCCACTATTCCATGAGGTCTTGCCGCTATCTTGCTATATTCATCAAAATATAACTCTTTAGTGCGTGTCTGACACGTTGATTAATGATTTTGCTTATCATCAGATGGGTGTCACTTGATCTCTCACAGAAGGCCAATATGATTTGAATGTATCGAGTTCACAAGGTTTTGGGCACTAAGTTTGTCTATTTAGAGCTTGCAGCACTCATGTACTATACTGGGTTTAGCCTCTGTATGAGAATACTATTTGGTTCTCATTTAAAGTCCTAAATCTCACTATCACGGACAAAGTATATTTTTAAATTCAATCATAGCAATGAATTAGATCAAACTATAAGTTCGTGCCTGAATACACTATATAACATAAAAAATAGTCATAAAAAAAAACTTAGAAAAATTAATAGTCAATATGAGACCAATATTGTTTCATTATTTAAGTTGTGTACAAGGGTTGATTATTGTTAGGGGTCATACTTTTAGAGGAAATTTTGTCAGTGCGTTAGGAGACAATAAGTTTTTGGCTTCCCAATCGCAAAACTTGAAAAAAAAAATTCTGAAACTTTATACTCAAAATTAAACATTGAAGAATTAAATACCAATTGTAATATTGTTACAACTAATATTGAGAAAATCCTCGTGTTCAAATCACTATTTCAACGTTCAATGCATTCAACTAAACTTGAAATCAACAAATACAAAAAACAAAAGGCACTGACAAAACCCTTCATGTTAGAAAATTCACTTCAATGAAAAATTCAATCTCAAGAAATCAACAATCATGCAAACCAATGAAAATCGACCCACAAAAAAAAATTAAAAAACTCAATTGCAAAAACTTCACCCTCCATATATATATTCAACCACAAGCACTAAAACATTTGAAAACTTACATCACTTAGTTCATGCGTATGTGATACATAATAAGTATGATGTTCTACCTAACAGAGAATAATTGACCTACAATGACAAATAGCCATTCAAATGTGAAGATAGAAGTATTATGATGCCCAAAATCTCAAAATTGCATAGAGCGCAAGCTATAAAGCATTATAAATGGGAAAGCTATTAGACCTTGCCCTACAACTTCAAAATAAAGCAGAATTCATGAACCAATTTCATAAACTTCAAACTAGTTAAAAGAAAGCAATTGATAACCAAAATCCAAAAAAAAAAAAATTTGTGCGCACAATTAATCCCAAAAAGAATCTACATCTTTTAATGCACAGTTAATCACAAATCATCTTTTAGGTGTATGTGTTTGATTTTTTTATTTTTTTTTGTTGTGAATGCGTCATGTCCAAAATTCTATATATTTACTCATTCAATAGGGAAGATGTAATTGTAGTGAGGTTTGGATGAATTTCAAAGAATGTTACCAAAAAGAGTGACGTCATCGTTGCTGTCCTTCCTATTTGTGGCTGCGGCTTGTTGCCTTCGCCTCCTGCGTGGCTGGTCACGGGAGTGTGAATAATATTTCCCTGCTATGACAGGAAAAGAAAAAAGCTTAAAAAAAACCTCCAACTTTCCCTTATTGCAACAAAAAAATAGACCAACACAATTGGGTCACACTCCAAAACCATTGAACTAATAAAATTTGATTTTGAAACTAAAATGTTATTGAATAACTAAGCAACAATTGCATTTATTAATTAACCCATTGTGGTGGCCAAAATCAAGACAATCATTGACTTCAAACCGCTCTTTTTTAATGCCTCAAATCTGAATCAGAAATGAACAAAAGGAGAAATTTTTAAAATTTAGAAATAATGTTGGTTAATAATACTCAAAATAGGATACATGCATATGTTTCGGAGAGCGTTGTCACTTGCTGTGTGTTTTTCTACTATGCAAGAGCCAAACCCACATATTGATGTTTGCTGAAGAACAGATGACCAGACACACTACAAAAGATGGGTTTGCACATCAAAGACAACATCATTCAAAGGTTTCTTCTCGTATAATTTTCTGCACACCAAAAAATGCACTTGAAATAAAATAAAACAAAGGGGAGAAAAATCCATACCTGACCTAAATGTTGCCAAATAAAAGCCCTCAATCGATCCAGATCGAAGTCAGTTAACGTGACATCTCGGTTGGTAAAAATAATTTAGTTAAAAATTTTGTAAGCCAAGCAGGAGAATTCTTTTTATGTGAGTTTAACACACAACCCCGTCATGTCAAGTGATGTGCATAACTAATGAAAAATAATAATTTTTTTGCAACGTGATGAGTGACAATTTTTCTTAAGAAAGAGTAAGAAAAATGGGTTATATGCACAAAACAAAACGGGGATCCATGTTTAAAAGTGTAATGTTATTTATATTTAAAAATTTAATATAATTTATTGATATAATGATGTAGTTTTATAAGAATCATTGAATCAACAATAAGTTTCAATGTTTGACGGAGCCTATAATTAATTCAAAGATCACAATGAATTAGGTCAACAAATTATGTCACTAATTAGGTCTCAATAATATTGCTCCTCTAATGCTATTGAAACCTAATTTACTATAACATTTGAATTAATTGTGGGACCCATCAAATATTAGAACTTAGTATTGATCTAATAATTTTACTAAAATCACATTATTATATCAACAAATTAGATCAAATTTTAAAATTCAAATAATATAAATCTTATTAGAATGGGTGCAAGGTGATTAATCAGCTGGGAAGGAGAGTGTACTAAACCAGCCGTAGATGCGCGTCCGGTTTCATTCTGCAAATTCTGCATTCCGGTCTCATTTCCCTCGACTTTCTTTCTACGTTAGCTTTATGCTTCCCCGCCGGCGTCGTCACCGGCAGTCAACTATCTCTCATCACCACACCTCGCTTACAGTTCACACCCCCTCAGATATATAAAACTTTTGATAGCACCCCACGCAGAAATGCTTGCTCAACTCAACTGCTTCATATCTAGCAGAAAGCGAGATTCAGAGTGTGTGTGTGTGTGTACGCGAGAGAGAGAGAGAGAGAGTTTTAGCTTATTGGATTGAAGGATGGCTTCATCAAACGGTGGTGTTCCGCCGGGCTTCCGGTTTCACCCAACAGACGAAGAGCTTCTTCACTACTACTTGAAGAAGAAGCTTTCATTTCAAAAGTTTGACATGGAGGTCATAAGAGAGGTGGATTTGAATAAGATAGAACCATGGGACCTTCAAGGTAAAGCTATTGCATGTTCTCTTCACCTTGTTAAGTTTAGGCATTTCCTTTTGCTACTTTATAAATAAGTCGTGATAGAGTTTCGTTCTACTTGTTTCCTATACGCACTATGCGACAACCTTACACTTTTGTATGTTCTGTGTATATTTATGATGAAAAATTCTTATGTGTTCTTTCATGATCTGCCTGAACCTATAGAGAAATGTAAGATTGGGTCGACGCCACAGAATGAGTGGTACTTCTTCAGCCATAAGGATAAGAAGTATCCTACAGGGTCAAGGACTAATCGAGCAACCAATGCTGGGTTTTGGAAGGCAACAGGCAGGGATAAATGCATAAGGAACAGCTATAAGAAGATTGGCATGAGGAAAACCCTTGTTTTCTACAGAGGCCGAGCTCCTCATGGCCAGAAGACTGACTGGATCATGCATGAGTACCGGCTTGAAGATGGTGATGACACCCAAGGAAGCCCTAACGTAAGACACACACACTCTCTCTCTTTCTCTCTGTCTCTCCACACATTAACGTAGGTCACATCTAGTGGTGATAAAATCCACCCGAACACACGATCCTTACTAAGCGGACCTTTGTACCTAAAACGATCATCCACCTTTATTTCTTTGACTATAGGAGAGGTACGTGTGAAATTTATGAACGCAATTAAATTTGGCTCCTAAATACTAATCCCTCAACGTGTTTGCAATGGCTTAAAGAGGCCCAAGATTTGGGTGTGGGGAATACAACCTAAGAATTGTAAAAAGTACTTTAAAAACAGAGATTTTTATCCGATGTCATTATTTTTCGGGTCTGGAATACAAACTAAGATTAACAAAAGTGTTTTACGGACATGATTTTTTTACAACTCAAAAAATCGAATCACTAGCTTTCCTCGTTAATGTGGCATGCCATACCATAAACTAAACATTTCAAACATATTATGTTGTTTTCAATTTTGTGGTATGTGGATCATACCTACTTCGGTAGCATTTTTTAAAAACAAATAATTATGTTTTAATCTCCAAGTATACATTTAAATGGCTCTGAGTTGTCACATTATTTTGTGAGTATTGCTACATAAGCTAACAAAGCTGATTCAATTTTACATTCGCGGATGAGGCATGCCAATATGGATTGATTTCGAATTGATCCTTAGATGCATCACATATACTTGTATTTTTTTTGGACTATTGTTCTATCTTCTTGGAATAGTTACTTTTTGGTTTTAATAAGTGGAACGTACACTTGCCCAAAAAAAAATAAAATTGGAACATATGAAGTGTGATGAGACAAATATAAGTAAACTGTCATATCTAAAAGGGAAAAATAGATTTTTGAGTTTGTATACAACTTATAGATCTTTGGTGGCACACAATCAACACTCCTACTTTGCGAGATCCTTTGACACCCTTAAAATGCCATTCCATTACATGTTTAAATGCATATCCCAAACATCCAGTTTTAGCAGCGTTGAAGACATACCACAACTTAAGGTACGTTGTTATATATTGCATATTATTTAAATGATATCAATTTTACAGTTGGCATATATGGAAAGAAAATATAATATAAATACATATATAATGATAGTTTAATAGAATGTGTTTTGTTCATTATGTATGTGCAGGAGGATGGTTGGGTGGTTTGCAGGGTTTTCAAGAAAAAGAATTTGTTTAAAGTTGGGATTGGGAACGAAGGAGGGGGTAGCATGGTCTCGGATCAGCTTAACAACGCATCAAGCACAAGTCATCATCGTACCTTCATGCACAGGGACAATCAATATCTCATACATCAACACCATAACAATGATAACCAACCAACCTTTGATTTGTACAAGACCGAGCTAGGACTCAACTACTCTCAAATTCCCTTGGGAGTTCCTCAATTTTCACAAATTCAAGCTCAAAACTTTATCCCTATCCACAAACCATTGGGTTATGACTTCCCAGAGCTCCCTTCGGAAACACCTGTATTGGTCAAGCAACTTATGTCGAACCCAAGGGATTGTGAAAGTGGTAGTGAAAACCTTTGTTATCAAGGTTGTGAGCCAGGGTTGGAGGTCGGAACTTGTGAACCTTCTCAAAGTCTGCTTATCGGAAGAGATCAGAGCTTGAATGAATGGGGCATGATTGATCGGCTTGTGACACCTCATATTGCCCAAGAAGACTCATCCAAAGGGATCAGATTTGATGATGAAAATCCTTCATCCATGCATCAAATTAATCCACTCTCACTGCGTGGAGAGATGGATTTCTGGGGCTATGGAAAGTAGTGTTGGGTTCGAGGATTTAAACTAAGTAAATTGATTAGAGCTTTCGTATATAATGGCTGAAGCCATGTAAAAACTAAGACAGTAAGATTATTAATTTGTTGTATTTATATTAAACCATTCCATTATGGAAACTGTTATTTGGATGTAATTTGTTGACATTATTTGTTCATTTAATCCATCATAACCATTGAATTGATAGAAAATCTCAATTAATATTAGAGCCCACTCTCAATCCAACATAAATGATTCATTAGGTCGACATATTAACTTAGTAAATAATATCAAAATAACATTGTTCTTCCAATATATTTAGCTTGATAGTGTATTGTATGTGCCCCTGTCAAATATAGTTTTTATATTCATATTCGTACTGATATCACCGTATTTTTGGACTTGCAAATTTCTTAAAAGAAAACCACACCGTTTTTTTGTTGTATGCAGCAGCAGTTAAGTTCCCTTCAATTGCTAATGCCATAGCTTACCTCCCTCTTACCCTCTTCCGTTTCTCGTCCCTTTTCCTTTCATTGCCCTCTCGCTTATCGTAGCTTAATACCCATTCTCTTTTCCCTTCCTGCTTTGTAGTGACAAATGCCTAATATTTTTGCATATTGACCTTTGGTAAGGAACCACAGCCAAGCCCAATCAATACTATGCCATAGGTTAGCACATATCTAGTACATTGTGTTAAAGTCCTCTTTAGAGCTTCTGAACAAGTCCGTCCTCTCCAAGCAGCACGGCAAAGTGATAATGTGAAGTCCTAATTGTTGAATATTTTGTTGAACAATAGATAAAACATTAAATTTGGGAAACATGCTAAATAAAGTTCAAACTTGACTTGATGAATTATTACCATTGAATAAAGAATGAGTCATAATAAATACTGGAACTCACAGTTAAATCAATGATAAATATAGCAATTACATCGTCAACTTAAGTTTTTAAGTCAACTTTTTAAATCTGTATAATATTTCTCTAAATTTGGTGTAGTTGAGTTATGATGAGACTTTTCTGAAATATTCCATGATGAAGACACGTGTCATCGGTATTACCAAAACACTGTTGCTAAGATCAAGCACCATCGGCGCACAAAGGTCCTCGCCCCCGAGGTACTCGTCATATAGGATCATGGCATTCAGTATGTTTTACAACCGACACGTAGCCTCGGTCTGATATGGTACCTCGGTCGGTATACCTCCCTCGGTTCCGAGATGAGCCTTTCCTCGGTGCCGAGAGGTACCCCGTCCTGGACGCCTCCTCTACTCCAGGATAAGCTATTGACGTACAGGTCATTAGCCTAGGCTAGTCATCATGACCTCGTCTTACACAATTAGTGTTAGAACGTACAGGAATGCAGGGGCCACAACCAATGAGGGATGGACGCGTGGCATATGATGTCACATCATAGACAGAAAAATCGCCTGCCGTTGCTGACACGCGACTTGGAAAGACAAACGATTAATTACATCATTCCCTTGACGAGACTGCATTCAATGCGGTAAGGCTCGAAAATGAAAGGCAATAAATGCTCCTAATACAGAGCATTTATTGCATCCTCCCCGAGAGGAGTACATTGTACCGTCGGCATCCTGATGACGCAGCATTAATTGCTCTGGACCCCGAGCAGTTAAGAAGAGAAGACATTCCTCATCAGAATCAGTGCGCACACTGCCTGTACCTAATGATCACTTACTGACTACACTGACAACAATCATGAGCTTTTGAGGTATAAATACTCTTTGCAAAAGGCAAGACGGGTATGCAACAAAAAACTCTTTACTACAATACACACTCAGTGTTTTCTTCTTCCTCTCTCTCTCTCAAAGACTGACTAGATCGTCGGAGGGGATACGCCGAAAAACACTCCGGCGCCCTTCTAACTTGTTCTTCTTTGTTCCAGGAACCTTTCTTCAGCCTTACTAGATCGTTTTTCCGCTCCCCCAGGGTCTCCCGTTGCCGTTCCAGGTTACCACCGGACCTCGCAGGCTGTTCCAAGCAGCGTGGTTGGTCACTCAACTGACTCACTCGAGTTCACCAAGGGAGAGATCTGTTCTCGTTTTTTATATTGTGCAGGATCTTGCACGCACAAGTTACTATCGTAGAGCTCACAATCTCAGAGATAAAGAGAAATAAAAACTCTTTTTATCATTGGCTTTAAGCTCCTTGATTTGGAATACATAACATAATAGCTAAACCCTTGGTCCAAGTTTACAACCAAGTATTGTGAGCCATTTTATTTCATACTGTAGTATGACATCCTAAAGTAGACTTTTGATACCAATAATGTTACGTCGATTAAATTTTAGAATCAAATTAAGAGTCCAAATAACATGACAACATATTATTTGAAGTTTTTATTGGGGCTCAAATGACATAACATCAAATAAAAAAGTTCAAATCAATTGTTATTTGGAGTTTTTATTGGAACCCAAATGATATGACACCAAATAAAGAAACTCAAATCAGCTGTCATGTCATTTAGACTCTTAATTTAGTCTCATAATTTATGTCAAAGTTGCAAGGTCTTTGAAGTTGGACTTTTGATAAAAGCTAGTGTCGGCAAACCATTTGCTAAAACAAAAATTGTTTTTACCCACAAAAGTTTTACCTAGGAAAATAATTTTGTAGGTGAAGTAGTTTTATACTGAGGAACTTATAATTTCATCGGTATAATTGCATTCATTTATGGAAGCACAAATTAAGTTTTACCTACAAAAAATTTCGTAGTTGAAAAAAGAAAATTTATTTTATATGTTATTAATATGTTTTCTAAATTTTGGTGAGAAATTAACAGTCGGTGTGAAAAAAATAAGAAATTTACTGGGGAAAGCATTTCGTAGGGAAAACCAAAACTAACTAATACGATGTCGTTCATGGATCAAAGTAGTTTTATCGAGGAAACTATTTCGTAGGGAACTCCTCCACCTCTACCACCACCAGCCTGTTCATTCATTTAATTGGCACCAACCTATGTCTTTTTCTCCCAAAACGATCAATCAATATCTTGAGGTTCCATTATCTTTCTCGCTCTCTGGTGGTTCTTTTGAGTTTAAGGGATCAATCGATCAATCAAGAACAGATCTCCCACGCTGATTCGTTTGAATTTTATGTGAATCGTGTGTTCTAGTCAATTGACTCAATTGAGTTTCTCCAATCTTAGGTTTAAGGAGTTTTCGAAGATCGATTCTTCTTTCTCCAAAAGACAAACTATCTATTCAGATTCTTCTGGTATTACTACTATGCAACCATTTTAATTTATTTATATTATCTAGTGCTCAAGAATTTGTTATGTGATGACGTAACTAATAGAGTGTTGGGACGAGTAGCAGGTGGCGGGCTGGAAGGAAGTGAATTCTTTCCGTTGAGCTTCCCTAATTTGAACAAATAAACACAAGAGATTAACCCAAACAGGGGATTTGGGTAATGTACTGGTTTGCTTCGAAGGAAACCAGAAAACCTCCAAGTTAGGACAAGCTAACAGATAAAGATATTGGAATAATTTGTGATGCCTTTATTCAGTGATAGAGCCTTATTTATAAAGACCTATACCATAAAATAGCTAGAGCCAAGCAACTATTCTCTACAAAGTAGCAACAACAATAATCTACTACTATAAAATACCAACTACTACCTATTAGAAAGGAAGACTAAGAGAATATTTGATAAAACTGAATGCTGAATTTTTTGATTTGCAGAATGTTTGATATCCACTAAAATTTAAGACAGTTTGATAATATATAAGGATTTGAAGTTTAGAAATTATTAGTATTCTAATTTTGCCCTTCCTTTTAACTGTTTCACTGTAATTATCTTATTTCTACCACAGCCATCACAATGGTGGTGGTGGCGGTGACATAATGGTGGTGGTGATGGCAGAACATGCATAATTGTGGTGCCGACACAATGTGAGTGGTGATGGTGGCACAATGGTGGTGGTGATGATGGTGGCGGTGGTGGCGGCAACACAATGGTGGTGGTGATGCGTGGCACAATGGTGGTGGTTGTGGTCCAATGGTGGTGGTGGCGTGACAGTGATGAGGATGGCACAATGGTGGTAGTGACAGCACAATGGTGGTGGTGGTGGTAATAATGGAGCACAATAGTGGTGATAGATGATGGATATTAAAAAGTTAACTGTGTAAAGTACATTGAGGGTATATTTGTCCATTATCAAGAATTTATAAAATGTTTAACGACTAACATTTTTCATCATTAAGTATAAGTTGATGGTTCGTTACTTAAAATTTTAGCCTTTTTTTAAGAAGTGCTTAAAATATTAAGTGGTATGAGTTTTAGGTTATCAAATGAGTTTAATTTATTTAGTGCTTTAAGTATTTAGTTTTAAGCATTAAGTGGTGCTATCAAACGCCTCATAAGTTGATAGCTGAAAAATAGATACATTCATCCTAATCAAGTAAACCATTTGACTAATTCAACTCTAATTGCATGTAATAGCTCTTCCTCCCTAAAAAAATGCCCTTATCCTCATGGGCATTTGCTAGAAACCGAAACTTGATGTCTTCTAAATTTTCCCATGTTGCTTTTGCTGGAGAAAGACCATGTCAATGGATTAATATTTCAATTCGTCGCCTACGAATTCTTTAATCTAGAACAACCTATGGTGATGGAATTAAGGATTCACTTTCTTCATTCACAGCTGGAAGAACCTTTTCCTAGCTTTTTCTTTCGAGTTGACATGTGGAGCACTGGATGAATACTTGAGCCAGTTAGTAAGTCTAGCTTATATGCGATAGCCCCTAGTTTCTCAATGATTTGAAAAGGTCCATAGAACCAGGGTGATAACTTTTGGTTTCTCCAAAGTGCCATAAAGGATTGCTAATATGGTTGGAGCCTAAAGTAAACCCAATCTGAAACTCTCTCTCTCTTGATGGTGCTGATCATAAATTCTTTTCATTCTATTTTGAGATTCGTTCAACCGATCATACAACTCCCTTAAAATCTGATCACGTTTCGCTAAAAATTTATTGATTCTTCTCTTGACT